ATTACTTTACCGTTACCATTATCACGGTAATGGTAAAAAAAGGATTTTAGTTCCGGATAATAGATGCCAAATGGTAACAAAATTTAAATTCATGGTAATGGTAATGGTAGTGGTAACGGATACTTTTCGGATTCCAGTTCATAATCCTAGCACTCTTGATTATAAATGGTATCATGTATCACTTTGGTGTATCTAGTACATTCAAACGTTATATAACGTTCAGACTAGGGCTGTGACAGTTACTAGTTACCGTTACTCGGTAACGGTAACTGCTGAACAGTTGCTATTCCTGGTAATGGTAACGAGTAAGCAATTACCATACAAGTAACGGTAACTGTTCAGTGTATCTTTCAAGTGTCAAATCTCTGAATATCTAGGTACCTGGGGGGAGGGGGAGGTGAGGGTTCGTAGTCTCATCCTCACTAAGTACCTAGATATTCAGAGATTTGACACTTGAAAGATATACTGAACAGTTACCGTTACTTGTAATTGGTCGTTACCTGTACGGTAACTGCTTATCCGTTACCGTTATAAGAAACGGTAACCGACCAGCAGTTACAATTACTGTAACGATAATGGTAACTGTCACAACCCAGACTAGTCAATGTTCCTGCATGTTCTTTATTTTGTGCCCTATGCACGTGTTTACGTTTTTTTTTCTTTTTCTTCTGTGGAAATATGTTCTATTACCATGGGAATTCCATTACCATTGCGGGAAAAGTGAGCCATTTTTACAACGCTTGTATCTCCGGCAGGGAAGCAAAATTTTGGGGTCGCTTAGACACCATTCGAAAGAGGATCGCGAGATCTAGAAACCCAGCGAAAACATAAAAAAAAATTTTCCACCCCCAAATAGGCTAGTTTTGTAAAGTTTCACTAATTTTCATTAACTAGGAAAATTTTTATTTTTACATAGGTTTGTTGCCCCAACTGTTCTCTTTCGATTGGCAACAACTCAGGTCGTTAGCTTTTGTTGTTAAAAAGTTATTCAAAAAACATCCACCTGCACGGCTCATTGAAATGGATAGTAGTATTTACTTCAGTACACTCTAAGAATTTTTGTTCAACACACTTCGGTGTTTCTGATGCTCATACGTGCATCAATCGAACATTTTTCCTGCCGTTTTGTTTAGAGTATGGAATGTTTCTTCCTCTTGTTGGCCACGCTCTATCAAATTTAATTCTATTGGCACTATATTATCGTGATTTACCGAGTAATTTTCTCCATGGGAGATATGGAGCATATGAACAACAGTTAAAGTATTTATTCGAAAATGAATACTACATACCTGGTTCCGTGTGTGAACTTATTCGTTATCGTACAACACCACTTTCTCATCCGTTAACTCCACCAAAATTAGAAATTATTTATCAGTTTTACTTTCATGCAGTAACCAATGAACCATACATACCAATGCATATTCAACAACGGTCTAACCAAACACGATTAAACTGTCACTAGGATTTTCTTATATTCATTTAGACATAAAATATTTTCGTCAACCTAAATACGACATAATTATGTATAGTATAGAAACTAGTATTTCGTTTTCAATAGTAAAATATCTTTATACTGTCTCACCTAAGTTATAGTTTTTGTTGAGAAAATAGACATATGACAATCACATCGCTATGAATTTTATTTTTCAGTTAAGCTACACCTTTTCTATTAATCCATGTAGATTTTGCGAGCGACCCTAGACGTCAGTTCTTATATAAGAATTAGACACGGATCTGGTAAGGATCTTGCCAGCTTCCTATCTGCTTTTACTAAGAATGTTATCCGATTCTCAACAGATTCTTATATAAGAAATGGCACGAAAGTTGCACGAATTTCGTAAGAAGCAGATAAGAATGGAGTAAGAATCTTATAAGAATTTCATAAGAAAGTGATAATAGTTCTCATTAGTTCTCTATTGAGTTCTTATGAAATTCTTATAGCAAAATTTTTTTTCACCACTCGCGATGGTTCCCTCAGCAATTTTCTTGAGCTTTAAACAATAATGAACATAAAGAAGATTTTTTAAAAGTACCGGTCCGTTCAGTCTTCGAACCTAGTGAGTTATTCATGATAATCCATGGGTTCTCCTATTGAAATACTGCGGACACACTTATATATAATCATCGCGTTTTTATATCCTGCCGCAATATCTTTTTCAACTTTAAACTTCTGTTATAAGTGATGCATAGTATTTCGAGTATAGAAATGGTGCGTATTACAATGGAATATAATTTAGTACATCGAAATTTTAAGTTTCTGATAGTGTACTCGAGACATGAGACTGCATTATTAAAATTCTTTGGCTTAACGAAAATCTCCGAAGAAAACGTTATTTCTATGAAATCTTACTGGAACGAAATGAGTAGAGAATACGTCTTATAAGAATCTGAGCAAGGATTCTTATCACTTTTTTTATGGAATTCTTATAACATCCTTACGAAATTCGTGTAACTTTCGTTTCACTTCTTATATAAGAATCTGATAAGAATCGGATATCAGAAATTTCAAGAAAAATTTGTCTAGAGAAGAGACACATAGTACTTGACTTTCTGGACAATTATGTTGCCAACTGTTCAGTGTGGTTAACCGTTTAAAAGTTGTCTTTTCAAACTCTGTTTTGAAACAAAGCGTTTAGCATTTTCTTCTACTTTATTGAACGATCAGCACGAATAAATTCAAGAGAATGTAAACGTATATCAAATAATCTCTTAATGAAAGCCGCATAAGTCACTACGGGCGGCTTACGATTTAGACTCAATTAAAATTAACTAAACAATCTATCGGTTGAATCCACTTACCTAAAGCTGATTTAAGTTTATATTCTAAAATATTATTCAATGGAAAACATAATCATTATTTTTGTAGTTAAAAAATATCCTAAACTTAATTACGTTTCCCAATGAAAGTGTAAATTTAGAAATTCAAATTATCCATAAATAAGTTTCTGTCAGACATTTGCTGTTGTTTCTAGAGAGAAACTATGTAAAACTTACCTTCCTAACATACGTCTCACCTTGCAAAATTTACCGAATCAATACTGTGTATATCAACGCCTGATAAGTTTATTTAGATAATTGTCTTTATATTATTCTGCCTTTATATAAACGTTAAGATACGTATACAGCTGGTGGAAAACGTAATCGTACACTTTTTTTTCACATTCAAACTCAATCACTAAAAAATTTGTTTACTACGTTTTTTGAAGTTTAGACTCTTCTCATGCTAACGAAAAAATAAATAACTCATCAGCATATCGGAAACGCGCAGAAATAATGCTCAACATTTTTTCCGAGACTTTTTATCCTATGATAGAAGACACACAATCACATATTAAGTATTGTACAGAAAGTGCCATTTAATTCCGCTAATGAATTTACATTAAGATTTGCTTCTCATAAGTACTTCACACTATCAGAACAAAGAAAACAAATGTTATGTTCAATCTAAGTGAGGACGGTGTACAGATAAATTCTGAATAGCTTCTACAAAGGAAAGTCATCCATCATACGGTAAAATAAAGTAAAGCATGAGCCAGAATTACTGAAACGAACTGATAAACTTCAGAAGATGGAAACGTTTCAGTAATTCTGGTCCATCCTTTATATATAGGTTTTAAAATACTTACAAAACATAATGGTCGTTAGGGGTGCATCAGTTTTTTTTTCGTATTTTTTAAAAATTCATAATAAATGATTTGTATTTTCATAAAAACGAGTTGCAACATTCTTTTAAAACGGTAGTTTTGTAGAGAAAAGACTTCTCTACAAGACGGTATATAGTAGTTAATTTTAAAGTGTTTCGGTTTCTTTAAAAAGCGTTCTTGATAGAGAGCCGCATCGGTTAATAACCGCGGTTATAACAGATGGTTTTAACCGACCGTCGGTTGGAGGAAAACGTTCTCTAAAAGGAAACAAAAAACTTCTAAAATATCTTCTGTATACTATCTTGTAGAGAAATGTTTTCTCTAAGGTGTCGGCAATTCGAAAGTCGAGCAGAGAAATAGATTCCTTTGAAATCTATATGGTTATATAGAGCTCGAAGAGCTAATTCCGAATACCTATTTGGAATCTCACCTTACATAACCTTATTTGTTTGTAGAAAACTTCATTCAAACTCAGTTTTAACGTCGATATATAGATAAAAACTTGCATAGTATTCCTTGGCACATTTTTTTGGTAAGATAAGCTGGTTTACCGAGCGAGCAAAGCTTAAGTGATTCTAATGTGCATTCCTTAGCCACACAACTGCGTTTTTGTTTTCTGACAGTTGTATGTTGATCGTCTCGGGCGCGTAGAGCCGAAACACGTCGGAGAAGTAACCGCGAGTTTAAATTCATAAAATTTTTTTTGTGCGATGCATCGCGTTTTGGTTGTTTTTGACTGAAAAAATGAACAAATCCGAAAAAAAGAGTCTAGCGAAGAAATTTCACTTGTGTTTTAAAAGTTGTTTTGGGTTTTCAAAAATACTGCACTTTATCAAACGTACTGAGCGGTTTATGCCTTAAGGCCCTATTATTGCTATCTTCTTTTATCCCGCTGGCATACATGGATCAATGTATTTATTACTAAGTTTGTGTCACTTCCTTTTGTCATCTATTGTACACACATACCACTACCTTACTCAATCTTTGTTTCTGTAAAAATATTTTCTTGATAATGTAGACTCATTTTTTCTTAATGGATTTTTTTCTGATTAATCTGCTCTTTTTTTTTCTCATGGGCGTACAATGGAGCTTGTCTCGACTTACTCACCTTTTATTGCTATGTTTATTTATTAAGTATTTTCTATAGTAAATTTTCAAATATATATATAGAAAAAACTATTTTTTAAGTCAGTGGAAAGTTGTTAGAATTAATCAGAACTCTTTTTTTTCACATACTAGAATAAAAGCTGAACAGATTAGATTTTCTGTTAAATTACTTTTCTCACATTTTGCTCTTCAAGTCTACCAATTCAAGACTACGAAAATTGATCCGTTATGCTCAAAAACTTTTCAACATGAATAAATCGACATGATCTACAATTCGACAGTATCAGCGTGTGACTCGAGCACGACATTTCCGCGAAGAGTTGGTTATTGGAAAAGAAGAATAAATGAGCCTGGTTTTGTGTTTTGTATTTTGTATATTGTGTTTTGAAACCTGAGTGAAGTTATGTGGTTAGTAGTCATTATTTGATACAATTACGGATATCCAGTTTCATGGCTTATCATGTTTGACCGGTTTTCTCTTCGGTACACGATAAACTGAAGCTCACAGTTTATCAACATTGGTTGTATATAATCAGGTTAATTATATTGTCTCACAGCATGGAAATCTGTGAGACAATATAATTCAGTAGCATCATGTATAACCATTAAACTATGAACAAACGCACTATGACAGCGGTAGTGAGCAAAATCATTCTTACTGTGTGTTTAAGACCATATGAGCAAATGATAAGGCCAAATACAACATTCATGTCCTCTTATAAGAGTTAATAACAAGTGATATGTAAAAAAAAAGAAGAAAATGAAGAAGAAAAGATAGATTTTATCTATTTTTTTCTCTTATACAAATATCAGAGATTAGAAGCGCCTTACATTATACTACGATTGTTCTGTTTCCTCCGATCATAATTTTGATGGCTTCCTTAATAGAAAAAATATTCCATATCTTAGTGACTAGTCGGATCTGATTAAAGGTATCTGAAATTAGTTACTAGATTAATGCTTATGAATAATTTGCTTAAAAAAAGTTATTTGAATTCGTCGACAAAAAAACGTCTAGCCAAATCTTTTTCGTTTCTATATGAAATGTGCATTATCAATAGTTTTAAATTTTCCACGAACTCTTCATTACACGTGTTTTTTCGAAAAACTTATTCCGATATTAAACCATAGTTTTTCAATTTAGAAAATTTTCAGAGTAATATCAGATCAGTCAAAGGTAAACTTCAATCGGAACATTCCTTTTTATGACATATTATGTCAAACACAAATAAATCTGATCCAATTCAGCTGGATAGCATTCTCAGCTGATCTTTAAAGATAAGTGTCTCATACCTTCAATTTTTCCTCCTTATTCAGTGAAAAAGTTATTTTAGAAATCAGATGAATGTTATACATGGCCGAAGTTGTGCCAATAATAATAAACATTATTCACAACATTAAAAAATATGTTTTTATATGTGTTGTAGATATATACAAACGAAAATGTGTCAAAATGCAACAAAGAGGACAAACTCATACCGAACAATAATATAAAGCTTTCAAACTGATAACGACGTTTGCAGTGTGTGAAAGGTGACTATTTAATGTATACACATCTATTATTTTATCACGAAGAAAGGAGAAAAGTTAGTTGTCTTTAGATATCAAGAATTGATTTTGTCGAGTAAGAATTTTATTGGTAAGTTTAGTGAATGTTTTGACCCGTGCATATATGTGTCGGACAGTGATTTTTCATATTTCTAGGTGAAGA